TTTAAGTAGGCTGCTATAAATCGAACGAATTATTCTTTCCTGTCTGTCTAGTTCTACGGGTTTTATATTTTATTCACCTTTTGTATCTCTTAATGACAGAAACGGAATGAACTATAAACTCTGACCATGTAGCTGACTGACCTTCGGTATAGCGTGGCGTGAAACGAGACTTTGAGAAAAAAATTGAGATTTCTTGGAGGATTCCCTTAATAATATAAAAAAGATTTTTTTTTGTAAATTCTTCTTCCGATATTCACAGTTAAATGTGTATTTAACTATGAGATGAAAAAGAACTTGATTTTTTATGTGAAAGAAAAAGATGTTTGCAAACTCCCATATGACCACATGCAGAAGAGAGGATGACCAAGGCCACTTCCCGAAACATCCGATTTCCTTTTATGCACGCATGACGTGTCACGCCCTGTTGTGTCATCACTACGTGATTGACGTCATGGTTCGGTTCGTCCCGTAGGTTGGGGCAACTGGAGTGCAGTAACCCTTTTCCTCTGTCCGGTGGATAAAGGAGTTCGATTACGACTACTTCTACTGTTGCCAAGTGGCGATGTCAAACGTGCTTTGACTTGGTTTGGGGCGCTATGTTGATGACTTTAAATACATTGTTCTCTATCTGCTGCCCGGTATCGAGGTGGGCCACAGACGTACTGGTTGTCGTTCGCTTGCGTGCCGTACTTAGCCAGGCCCGTTCCTGTCACTAATCCTTTGCCAACAGCATGCCATTGTTCGTCCTACCAAACTTGCCGAACATGTGCAAGTGAAGGAATACGTAATCATGAACGCGGAGAGAATAGTTGGCTTACCTTTACGATTTGTCCAGAGTATTGGCTGGCTGGTACAAGTAGCACGTACAGTGGCGGTTGGATACGCTCATGATTATTCTGTCCAAACGTTTTCTCAGTAGATCACTACGGGAATTTCCTTTGGAGGGAAGCTGAAAGAACAGTCCTTGTTTTGAACCGTGGTTACCCTGGATAATGTGGGTCTTTCTATGACTTTTTCCCGATGGGCCGCTCCGGGTAACCATTATTCAAGAGTATGAAGTTGATGTTTTTAAGTTCAACCGTCACTAACTTCATGTCGCAGATCTTTCGCGGTCTAAACGACAGGCATTGTGCTAGGTTGTATTTATGTTTGATTAGAACGAAAATTTGAAATTCCTCTTGTCAGTAACTCTTCATAGGAAGGAGAGAAGATATTTTAATAAAGAGTTTATACTTGAGTCGAGATCAGAACAAATAAAATGCACGTACATCAAGAACAACATGATATGTATCCTTAGGAGTTCTGAAACGTAACCGACAGCCCCAGTGAATGTGTGTTACGGTCTTCATCGAACCAGGTCACACCTTAAACCTTTCAAAAAAAGAAAAGAAAGTACAGTTAGATTACCTCATCTATGTTGAAGAGACTAAATACAAGCATAGGTCGTTGAAACTGATGTGTTTTTCTATTGCATTTAAAATGATTTACGAAAAAATCATAAGCCCTGTGGACACAAGCATGGGGCCACCTTCAATGAAGGAGTTGAAAAGTTTTTCATGAGAGAAAAGCAGTATTACTATTATTTTCAAACGACAGAGAGAGAGAAAATTTCGAGGACTAAAGGGTATCAACTCAAGAAAGTATAATATTTGCACCGCCAAACACAAACAAATGCATCCTTCAGGTGGGTCACGTTTGTCGAAATGAATTCTTGTTTAATTCAGGTAGACGATAATGGAAGGTCTAAAATTGCAATTTGAAAGGTATAACTTTAGTTCTGCAAATTGAACGTGATATGGCAAGATGAAAAGATAGATTATATCAAATACAATGGTGTTCGCGTGCAGCGAACATGGTGTTTATGTTTTTATTCATACAAATTTAAGTTAACGTAACAGTGACCAGAATACTAACCATCCTACAGTGGAATCTAACCCTCCCTTCGAGTTCCTAGGCGACCTGTGATCGACCATGTCTTAAGTTGTTGTTAATCATTTGATAGAGTTAACTGAATATACAAGCAGACAAATGATGAGGATTTAAAAGCATAAAATAATAGGGAATGCACCTCGGTACTACAAATTCGACAACTGACAGGAAATCAGATGTTGTATCAGCAGTACCAATGTCTCAGAATGTGGAAGAAGAAGCGAGACTTGCCAATTCGTAGATGGATTCATCGACTGTAACACGGCTTTCGAAGAGAACAAAATAGACGACAATAAAGAACCTCTCTCCAACAACGGGGGAGAAGGAGCACACTTGCACTAGATGTCAGTGAGTGCGTGAACTTTAAAACAAGCAAAATCGGATCAACTGCCCCAAAAAGAAACTGCAATGCTCATGATATAAAAATAAGACTGCTTCGGGTACCGTTAGTTTATCGTAAGATAGAAAGGAATTTACGGATCAGTGTTCGGATTTCAGATTTCAAAAAGAAAGCAAACAAAAGGAACGATTAAGTGAGCTGAAGCTGGAAGCACCTTGATTTCATAATAAAATTGACCAGAATCCACGTTTCGTTCGAAACCAGATGCGTAACAAAAATGAATGAAAGAGTACAAGGTCCCATTTCAATATACAAATTAGGAAACATGATGGCAGTCTGGGCAGAAATTTTCCAGCGGCACATACTGTGACACGCGGG